ACCCACCACGACCGCCGCCACGAAAACCGCCACCGCGATTGTCACCTCTTCCACGGCCTCCGCGAAAGTCGCCGCCGCCGCCACGGCCACCACGGTACTCACCTCCCGAGCTAACGCCGGAAAATGAGGCACCGCCACCACCGCGTCCACCGCCACGAGGTCCACCTCGGTTTCCACCACGCTCTCCGCCGCGGCCTCCGCCACGGTCACCACGACCTCGGAAATTGCCTCTGCCACGATCCGCCATGTTGATATCTAGACAGCGATCTAGACAGTGACTTGAGAAAAATAAGTTGGAGGAAACTTATGTTGGCTGATGGAAACTAATGTCAAAGCAAGAGCAAGCCTTCGGCGGTCAGGTGTTAGGGGTCGACAGTTATGACTATTAAAGTTGATAGATATCAACCACGACTACAGGTCTAGTCAGAGGAAATATGTATGAGAATGTCACCAGTGACGAATAGATGGTACAGTAGACCAATCTGTAAGAATAATAAGATGCTGATCTTCGTAGTTGGTGGGAAACAACATAGGTAGGTAGAGACGAAGGATAGATGAACTAACTATGTGACCTGACAAGGACATATATAGGAATCTAATATGTACGTTTTTTCTGCGTACCTAAGGCACCTAGGTTGAAGTTTCGTTCTGGATGGTCGAGCCGAGCCAAAACCATTCCTAGAACACCTTTGTTAGACAGACTGGCTGATTGATGTGAAACCGGGTTTAGACATAAGTGTGAAGATGACAACGAAGGTCGAGGTGTGTGAACCCTAAAACTACTGCATGAAAGCGTTGATCTAGCAGGTCGATTATATGTCCCAGACGTGATGATGCGATCTTACTTTGGCCATTGGTTGCTGACCGTTTGACTTTGATGTGGGGTTCAAATCAAACAAGCTTGCTTTACTTACCTGTGTGCTGCAAGGATGCTGTTTGATGTCAATGGCAAGGAAGCCAGCCAACAAACAGTCAGTCAAACAGGATGGATGACGCTGAAGAGGTGTGTGGATTCAAGAAGGAATCTTCAGTTATCAATGTTGTTCAGTAAAATTGGGTATAACGATTGGGGTTAGGTTAGGTACCTGACGGGATGAAAGAGAGAGGAGAGAAGGGGGAAAAAATACCATCTGTCAAGAGATTCTCTCATCAAAGAACCTTATGGAAGTAGGTCCTAAGCTAAAGCTTAAAATAAGAACGTTGGCAAAGGGTACCTAGCTGCCTAGGTAGAGCTGGAGGGGTACGAAGAAAAGTGCGGCCCACCTGCCAACACTCCAGGCCCACCAAATCAAGTATGTGAGTTAGATAGGTACATGTTCTCAAAGTCACTTACATGGCAGCATGGAAATAAGTTATCTCGCCTACAAAAACGGGCAACTCCTACTATTCAAGATCGGCTCTCTCCTGTTTGCTTTGCTTTTCTCTCTCATCACGATTCAAAGCGGTGTGTAGGTACCTACCTCTACATGCAAGAACTTCGGCACAGGTTCTATATTTCCCCAGTTGGGCCTAACCGTTTTCAATCCAATTTAGTGTTTTAGACCCCCGCGCGCTTCCATGGCTCTGGGGCTGTCAAAATTCTGACCTATCCCTGCTCTAGCCGATGGCCCGGTCTTTCCTTATTCTGCGTGGCTTTTCTGTAGTCCAGCCATTTCCCTGCACGCTGTAGGCAGTGCATATGTACATATGTACATACCGTAATGTCTATTAAAAAGTACATGTAGGCTTTTGGTACGTTAGGTACATACCAAATTCACTTCAACTACTTTCAGGAGGCAACCATATTTGGGAGTAACTACTAACATATATGTAGGTAGACTAAACTGCCCGTCTCATGTTGTATACAACCTCTGGTGAGCATGAAAATTAAAATGTAAGGTGGCAGGTAGATAACCTTGTCCCCCTTCAGCTGGCGAGCTCACACCGCACGGTCACCTTTGGGTTTACTTTTTACAGACAGGGGTTGTCATGCAAGATTCATTCAACGGCAAAGCTACATAGTCCTAGGTACCTATGTACATATCTCGTTCTAGTACTTAGTACTCTCAACCCGACGACACAGTTAAGTACATATCTTGTAGCGAGTGTTGGTAAGTGTATGTACTAGCTTGCCGAGTACTTATCTATCATGTACTGCATATCATAAGCCAGATACTCAATGTCTTCCTCAAAAAAATGACAGGTCCTTTTTCTAATAGGCATCCAAGTGTCAACGTCGCCATTTCTAGATACGTCAACAAGTCGCACAAATTCTGACTCATTCGACATATTGCAACCCCACGTCGATGACGGCCCAATGATGTTAATAGTCTTGCTTGTAATATATGTGATTGGTATCAGCTTTGTGAGTCAACCATGGATGGTGCTGTCCCAGATCCAAACAACATCCCCTGAATATTTCCTGGCAATTAGAAGTTATGTATCACTGAAAACAGGCTTTTGGACTGAAAACCGCAGCGTACACCCGAAAAGTTGTGGAAAGGAAACATACATATTGCAGTTGCTGTGTAGCTGGTCCATCATCCCAGTGGCAATTCTCACCAAACAGCATGTGCTCGGCAAGCTTTGATAGGAGAATTGTTTACTACGTAGTACCTAAGAGCAAACGGACTTGAGCCTCATTAGTCCCTTAATTCGCTGTGCATCGGTCTCGTGCATCCTGCAAGCCGAGGTAGCCGCGCTATTGCACTTCGTAGGCTCCCGACCCGCAGAGGCTACGTCAAGGAGGAAGCTCTAACACGACGTAATCCCCCAGTCCCCACGAGCCCCGGTTTCCTACGATGTTCTTGGCCTTATCGAAGGACTAAAATCTCATCACTCTAGCAGCAATCACTAAGGAAGCGATCCGATGGAGACAGTCATGCGAGATTCATTGAGCTAAGTCCCCGCGGGGCCGTAGAACACTACCGGCCCGGCCCGGTATCCACACCGTTACCTAATGACGGGCATCACGCCAACAGGGTCGCGGGAACCTACCCATTAGTATGCTTATTACGTAGTAGTCAGCTCAGACTCGTTCGAAGGTCAAGATGTAGCACCCGACCCCGCTCGTTTCCGTTGGCTCATGTAGTGTAAGAAAACTTCGAAGACTGTCCAAAGATGTTGTTAGATTCGGGAATCGGGGACACGGTACCATGTATCACAACATTTACATGTTTCTCAATGTGTTTCTCATTGAATCAGATCTTAGTACGGCGGGACACAGTGCCTACCTAGGTACCTACCTACCTAAGTAACGTAATATTCGTTCATATAACCTTAAACTACTTATCATTGCTTTAAATAAAAAGCCATCCGTACCACGAAGATCTTAAGCCTCATGTAGGTTTGGTTTCTGAGCCTAGCAGGGACTAAGGCGCTGAACGAAGAACCAGTCAACCAATTCACATACCCGACCGACTCTCTCGTTCGACACGGTCGATATGGGATACAAAAGTAATATCTCTGCGCTAATACTATGTACGTTTTGTAGATCGGGTGCAGGAAATATTCATAGTGCGTTTCCGGCGGGCGTTGCGGTTCGACCGTAACCAAATAGGTAGCTGACTAGAACAAGCAAAACGATTCGATCAACTCCGCGGACTTGATGCTACTGTACCTATACAACTCAACTTCACCGAGGATACGGAACGACTTGTTGGTTTAATTTCCAACCTGACAATCCTGGCAGTGGTTTGGGTCCGAACAATGCAAATCACTGCGATTGGAGCAGTGCAAACTTCTGCGGTCCGAACAGTGCAGCCTTCAAGTTCAATTCCACTGAAGCCGAACGGGTAAGTCCGATAATAATCTCAAGATACGATGGAGAAGAAAAAGGGAGACTGGGATGCTTCATGTGGCATACCTAGGTACCTAGGTACCAAATCAGATCATTTCGGCCAAAATCTGAACCGAATTTGGCTGAGAAGCTCTGCTCCGGCCTGCTTGAAAGGACTGTGGCTAACCTATACCTCTTATCAACATTTAGAAAACGTTCGGCTTGGACACGCCAACTTCATCAACCTCCAGTTCCCCAGCTTCAACCACATCCACACAATCTGGGGTTAGCAGCACTAACCCTTCTAAAGCATCAACAAGCGCCTCCACCTCATCTCCATCTCCGACCATGAATACGGTAACTAGGTAGTGCTAGCCCCGGATTATCAATAGGCGGGCAAGCAGGAATCGACGTTGGGGTAGGGCTTATTGGAATAGCGATTGGCAGCGGCGCCGCCGCCATGGTTTACCGACGACGCAAGAAACGGGGAGACGGATCAGGGGAGAACGCGAATAAAGTACATGGGGATCCGTTCCAAAATGGTACACTCAACTCAAACATTGCCGAGCCAGAAGGGCAGAAACATCGTGGCGCGCCGCCTATTGGGCACCAGGAATTAGATAGTGCGCCACCGCTCCACGAGATGCAATAGGTGTTGAGTGATCCAATAATGTTAGTCAAACTAAGCCATGATATATTATGATAAGAAATTCAAGCAAGGACTAGTTAGTTCATATGAGTTCATATATAATGGTGGCTGGATATACCGGCGGTGAGAGATTTCCAGGCTATATCTTGAGGTTGAATGCTTGAAGTTTACGTAGGGTTCTTGTGTTGCTTACGGTAATTGTGGTTTAATATGGGAATATAAGAACTTATTACCTTACGTAATTGATATAAGACCTGAGTTAAGAGCTTGATCTGCGTCGGCGGAAGGGGTTTGCGAGGCGATGCGGTTGAGGAGTAAGAATTAAGTATTCGAATCTTATGGATATGTAGGTAGTGTAAGTACCTTAAACTCCGGGTTTCTTGTGCCGCCTACTGGTAGCCCTGCATTAACATATCGCTGTAATGATTGGCTAGACGAAATTTCCGATAGCAGGAGCGGCCCCATACATATGTACATATCTAAAACCTACGTGTGTATGTACCTACATAGGTAGTAGTACTATAAATTGCCCAATACCAATTCTGCTTTTCACCTATTGGCCCAGCTCTCTAAGGCTAAGCCAGATCGAATCCCGCCCGGTTAGCTCAATCGGTAGAGCGTGAGACTCTTAATCTCAAGGCTGCGGGTTCGACCCCCGCATCGGGCTCAATTCCCGACGCTTCCCAGTTCACTGGGACTTCAGTCTTATTTTTGCGATTTTTTGGTGATTTTTTTTGGTGGTGTCTTCTTGCTGGTGGAAGGCACAATCGTATTATCCCCGGTCTAAATTCGTGACTGCCCCGTATTGTATTCGTATTGCCTTCCATTCTTCAAGTAAAACTATCAACTACTATCTACATGTACCTAATACCTCTTATACTGCCATACACCTGCATTGGGAACACAATAGACATATCACTAAGGGCTGTGTACAGATATATGACTTGGTATGATGCATGTGGATTCATCATTGTTCGCATTACATAGCTCACACATCCCGCAATCAGGAGGGCTTCTCATGGCCTGCTGTCGCGACTTCTAAAATCTCCTTGTCCAGTCCAGCAACATGGACAAATTCAATATTGGCATCCTTCAGTTTTTGCTTGCTGGAGTTAGCAGTGACGAACTTATCTGGTTCGTACACCCCAACATAGACCTTCTTGATGTTGCTTCCTATGGCTAATATCCTGTCTACACAAGGTAGATTTCCACTAAGCCTCTGCGAGCAGGGCTCTACTGTCGTGTAAAGTACGACATCGTCCGAGAGTGCTTCACCAAGTCGACTTTCCGCAACGCCGTACTTCTCTGAGAGCTTCTCAAAGCAGCATTGTTCTGCGTGGGTGTTTCCTGGAAGCTCTAGTGTGTAGCCAGTCGCCAGGATCTTGTTCGTAGCTTCATGCACCACAACAGCTCCGACTCGATAGTTGGTAGGCTTTGGCGGAGATTGGGTAGCTAGAGACAGAGCAAGTCTCATGTATGAAATATGATCTCCTGCCTCAATATTTCCAGCCGAATGGAGCGCATTCTCGGTCATTTTCCAACGAATCTTGGCAGGCAGGTAGCGAGAGAATGAGTTTATCTTAAGGTATTGTGATATGAATGCGCATAAGCGTTCAAGCAGTCCAATTGCCCCACTAATCACTACCCCACACTAGCAGTTTTATTGTTAGCTTTATCGATAAATTTTACGTATCGATTGGGACGGACTATCGATTAGGAACGCGTACAACGCGACATGGCCCATTTACGTAGTACATACCTCATCCTATACACAACCAACTGACTCTCGAGCTTATCGCTTTGTTAGTCTCCAGCCAACATGGACAACTCTGACGACCTTCTTACGGGCGAGCCGCCTACCATCGACCCCTACGAGATCCTCGGGTTGGAACGGACGGCAGATGAGGGCCAAATCAAGTCTGCGTATCGAAAGCTCGCTCTCAAGAACCACCCAGGTATGTCCTCTAAGCCATAGCCGACACATTTACCTTTCGTTGTTCTTACATTTTCGTAGACAAGGTCCCCGAGGATAGAAAGCAGGAAGCGCACGAGTCTTTTCAATCCATAGCTTTCGCGTACGCGGTACTCTCCGACCCGGCGAGGCGCAAGCGTTACGACGAGACGGGCTCGACTTCCGAGGCTATTGTCGATTCGGACGGCTTCAGTTGGACAGACTTCTACCGAGAACAGTACCGCGATTCCATCACCGCGGATGCGATCAAGAAATTCGCCAAGCAGTATAAAGGCTCTGACGAGGAAAAGGACGATGTCTTGATCGCCTACGAAGAATACAAGGGCAAGATGGACAAGATCTACGAGTCGGTCATGCTTAGCGACGTTCTCGAAGACGACGAACGATTCCGTACGATCATTGACGAGGCAATCGCCAGTGAAGACGTCCCCGCATTCAAAGCTTATACACACGAGAGCAAGAAGTCCAAGGAGGCTCGAGTCAAGGCTGCGCAGAAGGAGAGCACGGAGGCCGAGGAGTATGCCAAAGAACTGGGTGTGCATGACAAACTTTTCGGCAACAAGAACAAGAAGGAAGGGAAGGGCAAAAAGGGGTCATCCGAAGACGACCTAGCAGCAATCATCCGCGGCCGCCAGCAAGGCCGAAGCAATTTCTTCGATAACATAGCAGCTAAGTATGGAGCGACGCCGACTACTAAGAAGGGCAAGAAGCGTGCAGCTCAGGAAGAAGAAGAACCATCTGAAGAAGCATTCCAGGCTGCCGCCGCAAGGCTAAAGAAGGGGAAGAAAAAATGAATTACTCAGCAGAGATGCAATTTGGGTCCGGCCGGCCCTCTTATGGCGTATGGTGCCGAAGGTCTCAGAGCAAGGGAAATCATTACCAGGAAAGGTAGGGTATGCATCTGGGTTGAAGATGAGTTAATGCTTTTAACTGTGTTTATTGGTACAATAAATGCTCCATGAATCAATTCAACGAGCCAACAAGACTCCTATCGTGCGATACTGTGTGAATATATACGAATAGGGGTTGTGGTTGCTAGGTGCTTTGGTACGTGTACGTAGCAGGGCTGGCACTGGCAGGTGCATTTAATTAAGCGGGTCCTATTGTAGCTTATTCTGAACCTTACATGTAGGTAGGGCAAGTACATCAGATTACATTGAAAGGAAGCTTTCCGCGTCTGTCGCGTCACTGTGGACAATCCCACCAACTTCAACCTTTTTATTTTCCCTTCTAAAACAAAATCCGCCTAGCTTGCGAGTATTGCTTTTTAGCAATCGGGTTTACTATCAAAATGCGATGACAAGTGCGGAACCGCTCGTTTACTACCCGGCCTATTGCTTCCACCTATCCCCGACAATAAACAAATGGTGTCCTTTGCGCGCTATCGATATTCACGGCCTTGAACATCGGCCTGGCTTTGAAGGTACCTTGGCTCTAATATATACAACCCAACCAATTATTGATTGCAGCTCGGAGTTGACTGTTTTATAGCCGACAATGTTTTCTTCTCCTTGAACCATCCCATCCGATGGGTGCGAATTGTCGGCGTTGTGGTCGCCATCGACGAATACTACGGCCGTCGGATCTACACAGTCGATGATAGCACTGGCGAGTGCATCGAATGTAGTCTAGAAATCCCGAAGCAAACCGATAGCGGACGTCAAAATGATGTGGACAACGAAACAACTACAGCCACAGCGGCTGCTACTCCGAATGCGCAGTCGAAAATTGACGTCGGCATGGTTATCGAAGTGAAGGGCAGCACGAAGATATTCAGAGATCAGAAGCAGATTAAAGTCCAGAAGTTGCAGAGGATCAGGGCTACGAGCCAGGAGGTCGAGTTCTGGAACAAGATCCGCGACTTTCGGAACGACGTCGTCAGCCGACCCTGGGTGCTGGAGAAGAAAGAAGTGCGTCGATGTAAGAAGCAGTATATGGCTGATGTGGATGCTGAAGAGAAGAAGAGAAAGAAAAGGAAGGGAAATGGGTATGATGTTGACGTAAGGCATCCCATTCGGCAATCTAGCACCAAGAGCGAAGATACCAGGAACAAGCCCACGAAACAAGAACCCTTGACCAAGGCGAGAGCCAGAGACTCATACGCCCACGGGGGATACGATGCACTAGGACTATAGGACTTTGGAAATGCATTCTACGTCTCTTGACATATTTACACTGTCAGCGTGAAGGCCATACCACCAAGTTCAAGTGCGCACTAGCATATTACAATTTCCCTCCTTATCCAGCCTTAGGGACGAGACCTGATGAAAATCATCACAACTGTTTCCGAGTGTAACCTTGATACCATGCACGTTGGCAAGTGATTACATGTGCCTAATTCTCCTTCAAGGGGCTCAAGTCCCTCAAGTCCTCGTTAGGTACCTACCTAGGTATAATATCTACATGTAGGTATGCCTGTAGGCTGTACCTGAAATATTAAAGTGGGGACACCTGCTCCTAGCAATTGCCAACTTAAACAAGTGACGAATGTGACCTCTTCGACGTTCGTAATGGCCAGAATTTCGTGGATGCGTACCTACGTTATTTCTTCAAACATGGATCATCTCTTCTGAATCTGAACCTGGAAGTGAACAGTCGAGGCAGTAGGTAGGGACATATTTTAAACTTACGTATAGTTGTGTACCTAAAATAGGATCTAGCTCAAGTCAGTTTGACGCATCCATCAAAATTTCTACCACAATATTCTTCATAATAACAACATCCTCTTCCTCCCGATAGGCCCTAGAGATCTAGAATCATCATCCTAGACCCGGTGATGTTTGTTCACTCCCCTGATCCCAATATTCTTATCCTGTATAACTTTGGGTTTCAATTGCTCTACCGCGGCGGCATCTCGCAACGTTCATTTCTCATTCCAGTGACTCTTCTAGACTCTTGTTTGCTTCAGCTCGTCAAATAGGTAGGACGCCCAGCCCCTATTCAAGACAACCCATTCCTCATGCCATGAGCTCTACACGTCACATGGCGTTGGCAACCTTGACTCAGCCGTCGTCCGGCACACCAGCACCATTCCTTGATATCTCAGCTCGACTCATCCATCATGTCATTCAACAACATGTACAGTCCGATGGATACTATTTATTCAGGGCTTCTGAGCTGAGTCTTGGTCCTTGGATCTTGGCTCTGACCTCCATACTGTCTATTATGTTATAACATAATGAATCTATTCGCTACTCAAGACCGCCAAACGAAAATCGCTTCATCACAAATATCCTATGTAGAGTGCTGGTTGCTCTAGAACGCCTTCTTATAAGGCGTCACAATACAATAATTCGCTAAGAATACACTCTTTTCAACATCCTTCACATTTCCCAGAGCCGTTATGTTGCTGTGTTGGATACTAACCTTGCTTCAGGCCAACCCCATTTTGACAACCCGACTTGCAACTTTGAAGACTGGGATCAAGTCATCCCGTCAAGATAGACTCGCAGAGCGAAATTCTTTCCGAGAGAGCTTCTCTCCCATCTCGATAAGCCAGGATCCCCACCGCGAAGGTTACCAACCTATCGTAGTGATTACGAGCTCTATAGCCTCGGCAGTTTTGTCATCATTTGGGTCTGAGCTTGATACAACTAGCAGCATTAACACGGCACTTCAGACTAGTGACAGCGGTGAAGCGATATCAGCTCAAAGTAGCCCAATACCAGCTCCAACTACCAGTTTAGGGTCATCGA